GTCACTATATTGATGACTGCATTATTGTTTTGTATTTTATTGGTTTGATGTTGTTTCTCTGAGTTTTAAATTACCAAACCGTTGGTAACTCTGGTGGCGGCCATTTTCAACGGGTCAATGTTACGTAACCAGCTGACGTCACTGTGATTTGCGATTCTTCGGCTGATACCGCGATATGCCAGTGCATGTGTGTACTGTGGACAACCATTCGAGAAAGAAAAGTGTCTTTGTGTACGTGTGTGCGTTAACAAAGAGACGTACAACAAAAATATATACTGAATGCAAACTACTATCACAGGCCCCTTTCAACGTTCCCGACAGCTTTCGTTGTCAGTTGTCTTCGTTTTTCAGGAAGAACAGTGGCTGCCATTGAAGTTACCTGCGACTTGTCCATAACAACCGATAAAATAACTTGAATATCAAATCGATCATTTTTCGTCGCGATTTTTATTCGGATGAGTATTTAATAAACATAATATCGATCCATGATAGATTCGACAAGAGGGAATGATAACAGTGTGATTGTGCAGTTATTAGCAATTCAATGTGGATGTGGACGCAAGTTTGTGAGAGCAACCATAGCCCATTTGTGTCGATAAAGTAACTGCTTTAAAACATCAAATGTACTGCTGGTAGTATCAATTACTGAAATATCACCACAAAAACTAAATACCTTCACAAGAAGAGCTATGGACCCGCATCTAGTTTGGCGTGTTTACCGCCCGGGTTTACCCCCCCCCCCCGGGGGGGGGGGGGCTCACTCTACATTAAAATCATACACCATGTGCGTTCTTGCTAAAAAATAGTAGGCCCCTAGGGCTGGCAGTACATTGCTAAACCATACCCATAGGGGTATTGCGGACGCACTGTAAAATTAGTACCCCTAGAGCAGACATATTGAAGAAAAAAAACACCCCCTATTGCAGACATATATTGAGAACACCCTACTCCATTGCGAGCATTTTCTGCCGTTTTTTTTTTTCACTCAAGTAGGGTGTGATCAACTCAAACAAGCCATGGCCTAGGGCGGTGTATGGGAGTGGTTGTTGCAAGAGGGGACCTACAGCGGGCGCATCAACCCTGTGAGTTTACTCCTGGGGGCCAGGCTATTGCAGACATTAGAATTTTAAAGGGGGCCTATTTGCCTCCCGCGCGGGTCCGCTTTGGAAGGTGAAAAACATCCCCTTTCCCCGCTAAATTTGGAACGCACATGGGGGTAGTAACGGCATATAGAGTAACCCCCCGGGGTTTACCGGCGGTGGCCGTCACGCAGCGCGTGTTCGAACACGGTGCGTCGACCACCGCCCTTTATGTGTTAGTCATTTAGATTCATTGCTCGATTTTTTTTCGCATACATATTTATATTTGGTTATCTTTATTCGCAGATCCGTTCGTCAAAGTGTATCTTTTACAGAATGGTAAGAAAATCAGCAAGAAGAAGACAGTTGTGAAAAAAGACGAAAGGTGTCCGATCTATAACGAGGCTATGATATTCTCAGTTCCGTCGAGTGTGCTGCAGGTATGCTAATTATAGTCTGTCTTCATTGGTTTATTAATTCCACGTGACGTACGCGAGGATTAGACCCCGAAAAACGCCTTCTTTTGCCTGAAGGCGCCCTTGTTGTCACAGGACGTGAAACAAAAGAAACTTGAGACTATCTTTTCTCTGGTGCCTGTGAGCAGCTTAGTTTTTTTCAGCATTTCATTCATTTGCTCTCAGTCTAAATATGTTTTATATTTTGTTTGTTTTCACAGTCGGTAACTCTTCGCGTGACAGTAGCTGAGAACTCGGTCAGTGGAAAGAACCACAGTGTAGGTCACGTGCTTGTCGGGCCTAACGCCACTGGGTCGTCCCTGACGCACTGGAATCAAATGATGACGTCATTGCGAAAGCCTGCGGCAATGTGGCACTCTTTGAGAAAGTATTAGTATAAGACATATTAACACGTGGGCGCTATACTGCTCTTTGTACCCAGAATTTCGATTTCGATATCTTGTTTTATTACTAATATTGCTAACGGTAGCCCAACACAAATAATATATTTGACATTAACTGCAATCATTT